CAGTTAAGATACAGATAATATCTAATATATATTATATCTATCTATATCAGTTCAAACTGATAACGTCTGTTTCAAGAGTGGTTATCCTAAATAGGTTTGATTTCAAATTCAAAACCTATTTGGATAAGAATTCAAAATCAAATTTAATGGTCATGCCACATGGGCGCCCATTACTAACACTTTTTAAAATTAAGATCCGTGTTTTGTTTGCGTTAATAAACAAAAATCAGACTATAAAACAAGAGAAGATGAATTGAGAATAGTACCCAACCCTTTTGAAGGGCAGAAGAAATGAAGCCATAACAAAGTAGAAACACTAATTGTATTATGTCAACCAAAACAAGGACACTGAAGACCATATGCTCTAAGCAATAAAACGAACCAAATATCAGGAAAACTCAACGAGTCTCAAAACAATCAACAGTGCACAAAACTCTCAGGAAGGTATCGACAAATCAATCCTCTTCATCAATGACCTTGGTACCAAGGCCCTTCAGCCCTTCCAGTGGGATTTCAGCAACAGTAACAAGAGAGTAGAACTCTTCTTTTGCATCTTCATCATCATTTCTCTTGCAAGCAATGTGAACTCTAATCCGCCTTGGGACACTTCAGATGCCTCTGCTCCAGATGTGTTCACATCCACCCTCACATCCTTTGTCCCCATGGCTTTCTGGGCAAATTTCCTGATCTCTTTTATGGTGTTAGGTGCCTTCTTGAGTGTGCTGTTATTTACAATGACAGTACAAAAAACACACAATCACATCCTATCTCATGATATATCACAGAATAAGTAACAGTTCAAGCAAAAATAAAAAATAAAAAATAAAAAATACAGGTCAACCATATAAAGACAATAAATACATGTGGTTGTACAAGGTTATCTCAGTCATTCTCTAGTTTTTTTTTTTGGATAAATATCTCAGTCATTCTATAGTTATTCAAACAAAATGAAAAAAAATGTGATAGAAATGTACACGGTAGCATAGTTGTCAAATCGGGATTCGAATCATGAATCGAAATGGCCTCAAATCGAATCGCGAATCGAATCAAATCGTGAATCACAAAGATTCGATCACTTTTTAGCATTAATCAAAAGATGCAAAGGCAGTAAAGACGATAATTTTTTTCTTTTATATACAAGACCCATCATGCAATTCACTAGTATTGCATCATTGCCAAGCATGGTTTTATGAAGTCAGGTAAGAACAAAAGCAGAGAAACAGTGTGAGGAAGGGAATGCTGTAATTTCAGCAATAAAAGGGAACAAAGGTGTGTATCATAATGGCAGTCTGTTTACATGGGTGATGTAACAGTCTCCATATGAAAAAAAGCACCAAATGTGAGACCCCACCTTAAACCAACCACATGAAGGTTGAACAATCTCACAACCTACACATGTTCCCAATCTGAACTAAGATTGCTATAAAAAACTAGGAAATACACCAACTGTCCACAGTACATCCTGAGAGCAGAAACTGCGGGCTGGGGAACAAATAGCATCACCCAGCCAATTGCACAAGGTTGTCAAAGATGCGAGCTAAAAAGTATTTGGGGACGGTTACAGTTAACAGCATCAACAGAAGTGACATCGCCATTTCCCAAAACTAAACTCTCACCAATTACTTTACATTTATTTAGTGAAGTCATGCAGAGCTAACAATTCAGAAATTACTCAGTTACATCACATAGACAAGCTAGTTACATCAAAGAGCCACTTTGAAAACCCTAATACCGATTGCATGAAAAGAACACAGATTTCAACACAACTCTGTACAATATTGCATGGAAAAAATGCATAATACTGTAACAGAAGAAACCAATTCTGGACATTAATTGTTCAACCAAACCGATCAAATCACGATCATAAGAAAACTGACATATTCAATAAGCGGGCAATGAATCTCTTGCTCACCTTGAATCCACTGTAATGTAAAGTACTCAACTAAGATTGAGCTTCCAGGGATTAATTATTTTACCGTAAATTTCAAATTATGGTCTCAAAGGCATGGCTAAATAGATTCAGAAACATAAAGAGCCACAATAGATTCACATTTTATGTTAAATCTAAGAACTAGAACATATAGATGATTCTGATTATTCAAACACTTAAAAAAGCAATATCAATAATATAATTAACCAAAAATTAAGATAACCCTTCACAACTACATAATCAATTGATCCAACACTACCAAGAATCAAACTTTATATAGTAACACATAGAATCAACAAGCTATAATGCATATATAGATAGACCAGCCTTTTCCAGAGCCCACATCAACGGCTTTTGGGTTTGGGTTTGGTTTTGGACCCAATCTGGTTCGTTTACGCTGTATTTGATTGGAAGATTTAAGGAGAGATTTAAAATGAAAAATAGAAAAAGAATGTAAAATGTGAATAAAATATATCTATATCTCAACTAGTTTCGCACATCTTTTTTTCTTGCCAAATCCCTCTTTTCAAATCTCTCTTTAAATCTCCCCAACTAAACACAGTATTAAGAAATTGAAAACGAACATATTTTAAAGCATCTTCATCAAATTAATTAAAATTTTACTATATTTTAACTTGAAAGTTACTTTTTCTATTTTGACTATACACTTTCTTAAATACATTATCTAACAAGCTCTCTATTCTTTTTCTATATTATTTTTATTCATTTTAATTTAGTATTTTTTTTTTTATAAACTAAACATGATTAATTTCTAAATATGAAAAGTAATATTTTTTTAATAGTTGACTTGATGAAAACACTAGTTACATTTGTTGAATCAAAACCACCAAAATTAAAGTGGCCAACTTGATAGTTATTTTGATGGAGGTGAAATTTAGTGATTTACTCACTATTTTAGTTAAAATATGAAAATAACTAATTTGATGGTGATGCTCTTAGGCTTCGTTTGGGAAGTGGTTTGGCTTTTTGACTATGTCTGGTGCTAAAAAGTTTGTTTGGATTGGATTTTTTGATTTTTTTAATTTTTGTGAGAGAAAAAGTGAAATGATTATGGTTTGAATGTGATATTTTGTGTTATTAACTTTTTAGTCTATTTTATCTTTTTTAACTAAATTAGTCCCCAACCTCAAAAAAATCTCATGCCAAACGCGGGCTTAGTATTTAGTTTAGTTTAGTTTTTTTTTTTTATTATTTTATTGTAAATAAAGGATACATAGAAGGTATCAAGGATTTCATAAAAAATTATAAAATCTCATACTGAGAATAAATGAAGAGAGGTTGTAGAAGATACTCTATAAATGTCTCTCCTCTTAATTTTTGTTAAAAAATATATAGTATTAGTCATTTATTTTCTAATATACCCAAAATATTACTAATATAAGAAGGATTTAACTGTTATATTTTGATCGGTGTGGGTGTAAATTATTTTAAAATCATTTTAAGTGGTTGGTTTGATTCTCAATTTTTCCTAGAATTCTAAATTCGGGTTCGTTTGGGAAGTGGGTTGACTTTCTGGCTTTTTTTTGTTATTTTAGCCTAGGCTAAAAAGCCTCGTTTGCGATGGACTTTTTTGATTTTTTTGAATTTTGTGAGAGAAAAATGTAATGATTATCGGTTGGATGTGATGTTTTGTCTTGTTGGGCTAAAAAGCCTATTTTGTTTTTTTGTAGCTAAAATAGCCAAAAAACCCTGGCTTTTTCTTCCCAAACGACGCCTAGAAACTATAGTCTAGGAATAGAGAGAGAGGATTACAGAGAATGGAACACTATAAATTAAAAATTATTAAGTAGTTCAGGATATTATCTGGCAATGCTTTCAGCAATCATCAAATGTCATGCTCTTTTGTTATTACTCATGACTCAATACAAAATCGGGAGTGTCACCTTTTCTATTAATCACAACACTTTGACACCACCTAACAATACCCCTACCAATTATCAAATATCATGTCCTTTTGCTATTCCTCGTAACTCAATATAAAATCATGAATCTCACCTCCTCACCAAATAACTTTTATAAACTAGCTAGTCCCTTTGGTTTCCCCTCAATATCCAACCTTGTTACTAGTGAAGTTATTCAAGTATTTTGTTCGTCTACATTTGAACGTTTTGAATTGGGTCATTCTATTTTGTTAAGCCTCTTGCTGAACTGGATAATTTATTTATGCTCTATTTTTTAAGCGATGCGAGAATTGTGAAAAAATTGATAATGTTGAATGCACTTAAATTTCTCTTGAAATGTTGGTGTAACTTTCCTTTTTTTTTTTTTTTTTCCCACAGATTTATAGGCCTTGTTTGGTTTGTTTTTCTGAAAAATTTTTGGAAAAAATTCTCTACAAACAAATTTTCAAAAGTAATCAAACCAAACAAATTTTTTCAAAAAAAATCTCAAAATTTTGTTTGGTTACCTACTTTCCAAAATCACTCTCTCTCTCATACACATCAAATCAATCACTTTTTTTAAAACTCTCTCCCCAAAACAAATTTTCAAAACCATTTCTGAAAAAAGACAAACCAAACAAGTTTTCGTACTTTTTATCTAAAAAACTACTCTACAAACACAAACCAAACACAACAATAATCTTTAAGGTCTCCCTATACACGAAAAGCGACTTACGGACCAACCTTAACAGCACGAAGAGTAAACACACTCGTTTTACGCTTAAAATGCAATAAATTTCATTATAACAAGATGAAATATTACATCTGACGAGAGTTCAACATCAAAATCCAGGTCAGTCATGCCATAGTACTAAATGTTCTTCTATATCCCTAGTATTTGACTACTATGGAGACCTCACTCTCTAACTCTTGTGAAAGATAACACAATCTATGGACATTGTTCGTGTTATCAATGAATTAAAAAGACTCATCGTACATGGTTTAGCCTCACCCAAATTGGTTGGCCACTCAAATTTCAAGTCTTCGCGCTCTGTCCACATATGAGAACGGGGATGTCATTACTTGGGGATTTAACTCATCGAATTGATATGTACCTCCAATATTTTCGTAATGAAGAAGGAATGTATATCCTTGTTCTTGTTGAAAATCTCTAATCTTCCAAATAACGATCTTGTGCTAAACAAACACACCCTTAGGGTTTCAGCAAACTGCGTGAATATCTCCACAAATTGAGAACCAAAACAGTCAGGCCGGCCATGCCTGCTAAAATCTGCCACGGACACAGAAACAAAGATGTTAGACATTTGCAGATTTTCTGGGAATTGTTCACAGGGAGAAAGAGGGGGAGTAAAAAAATCAATCATGTGCAGGGAAGATATAAATATAATCATGAGGAGCTCTGGAATGATATTTAACAACATTCAAAATCTAAACGATGTGAACTACATAAAGTGTATGCAAATAAGAACCAGGTTGTGGATCACAAAACAAAATTAGAAATAGAAAAAGACAAATAAAAGAAGAAAAAATAGAGCATTATAATGTGGGCTCTCAAGAACTGTCAGAATTTCTTCACTACAAATGGCAAACAGAAAATGCAATTTGCTGACACATGTGCTAGGTGCACAACAATGCCAGAACACACATATGACGGGGGTTAGCCCAGTGGCCAAAGCAAGTGTATCTTATTAATGAGATAATGAGATAACGAGATCAATTCTCCTCTCCCTCCATCCAATGTACTCAGGGTAAAACAAAAAAACAAAAAAAAGAGAGCATAGGACTTACCTTTGCATCTCTACTATAACGGTTTGGCGCTGAGCGGATGAGTAGCCCTAACTTCTTAAAACAAGATCTCTGAGGCATCAGAATCACTACAGTATACTGTTTTTTGCAAGGAAAATGCAGTATCCTTTGTAATGCCAACTGTGCTGTTAATGGTGTTAGAGTCTTTCTAACTTTGGAACGAACCTCTTCTTGAACATGTGCAGCAAAGATTATCAAATAATAGTGGAAAATTTGCTTCACAAAGATTGAACTTTTCTAAACCTATGTAAGTCCATAAAAATGGATGGCAATATAGGTACAGTTTAGATGGCTCTATTTTCACATTTTTGATAATAGGAAAAGCAGCTAACAGAACATAACAAAGAAAACTGCTTGACTATGTTGCATGGTCAAACCAAACCAGACAAAGCCATGTGTCTCAATCAAGTGGGTTGGGTTCATGAATCTTTTTTCTTTTCTTTTTTTTGTATAATTTAATATAACTGTGTCCCATGTCAGTTTTGTAGTTGTAACCAGGCCAGGGGCAGACACATATCTTGGATGCTTATTCTAAGATAGAACCACTCATCATACCCCTATGCTATGTTATATGGACTCGGGTACGGGTGTCGGGTGCGGATATGTATCTAGAGGTCGGACTCATTAAATCTTAAATTTAAGGGTATGCGGACTCAGAAAAAAAATATCATATTTTTATATTTTTAATCTAATATGCGTACCAAGCCGTATCCGTACCCTATTTTTTTTTAATTTTACCGTATCGACGTACCCGTATCGTACCAGTACCAATACTCGTACCCGTACCTGTGCTTCATAGATAGTGGTAGATAGTGGTAATATATAATATGTAAGTGGCATATAATGGGTTATAATGATGTTTGTAATATCTCCTATATAAGGAGTGTCATTTGGTCTTGTAAAATAAGAAGTTTTGAATATTACAAAAATATATTCCTTCTTCCTCATATTTTCGGAGTTCTTCTTCCTCATATTTCCTAAGTCAATAATATGCACATATAATAATTGTGTTATATACAATTATATAAGAAGTATCCGTTAAAAAGTATCCGACACATAACCCATACCCTTGTCCGAGTGTTGGGTGTCCGACACGGGTATTTGATCTATTTTGAAGAGTCCGTGTAACATAACCCCTATGTCCTTGCTTGTTTGATAATATTCATATTATCAAGAAAAACATTTAATTGTACAAAAAGCCCATTTCTCAACAGGTTTTACACCCATGCATATGTTGAGTGACAGTGTTATACATTGCAAGGCAACATTATGGATGAGCTTGACAGCAACAGAATCATTAGCATGGAAACTGAATATTCAATTAACAGGGGTAACTAATAGGAAGCAGACTGCAATGCAAGGCAGTAGAAATGCAAAAACCACAGTAACTAACCTCAAAAGATGTGCCAACATCACCAAAATAGATCCTTGATTGGTAGCTACGTAAAATCCTATCCAGCCAGTCGTAATTCTCCTGAAAGAGCATATGAATTGGAATATGGAATAAATGGATAGAGAATGAGATTGGGATGAGTAAAGTAACAATGCACCACTACATGAATCAAACAAAAATGCTGATTAGCTACTCTGCACTCTCAAGAAAAATAAGTACGACAATGAGCTTTAGTTGTCCCTTTAAATTCCCACTCACCAAAACTCCACCCCCCCCCCCCCCTCTCCCCTCAACTCAGTTCTCCTCTTCCTTCTACTTTTCCCCCCCTCACCTTTTGTTGGTTCCCCTTATCCTTTTTTTCTTTTTGGAAAAATTCAGTTGTTCAAGGCTTTTGGTTGCCACCTGTATATGTATAAGCACTAGTACTGCAATTAGCACCATTCAAATTACTATAAAAACTGAGGCTGCTACTTGCTTCTATAGAAGTCACTTAAACAGAGGATGGGGCAGGAGCTATGATGCGGTATCAGAAACCTTAGCAAGCCATGTTTGATGGAAAATGAAAAGTGGTTAGGGGCAGCTTTCATTTAATTATATTTTAGACCTTAATTTTCTCTAATGCACAGGATCAATTTTAGCATTTTTATCAATTTTGCATGGGCACAACTTGCGCATCTGGACCTCTTAAGAGTGCCAACTATATATAGTAGCATTCATTTATTACCACATTTAAAATGTTAGTCCTTTGTTTGGATGCATAAGGAAAATGCGGTGAAATTTTGGATTATTACAAAAATATAAATATGTGAGGTTTGACACACGATGCATATAACTTCCCTCTTCTCTTCATCTGATTCTGGAAATTAAATAGAAAATGAATGCGCTACTCGGTCCAAAATGAGTGCCGTGTTTGATTAAAAAAACACTAAATTTAAGAAAGCAATAAAATATGGAAGTCCCTTCATTTTTTGGCATTACTCTTCCAAAATTGCCCTGAACAAAGTCGATAAATAATTATTGTATAGTTTTTATGGCATTTGTAATATATTTTATCAAAAGGGTAATATAGGAAAGTAAAGATTAACTAATTTGACTTTTTCATTGTGGACATTCATTTTGGACAACTAAAAAAGGAAAGTAAGAAATTATCTCTTGGATGGAGGGAGAAACTAAAGGCGTGGAACTTACGAGCAATCCATTTTCATGGGCCCTTTGTTCAATTTCAAGGATAGTTAAAACATCTTCATCTGTAGGTCCTTCCTCCGGGAGACATAATATTTCTTCCAAAGCCAGATCAACCTGCAAGAAACATTGCACAATTAAGTTAATTAGCCATTCAACTGCTTAAAAAATTGCACAACTATAGTGAACATACCACTGTTGTGGATATATCCGGATCACAAGAAAAATTAACACTAATATCCCCACGAACATTATCAACTATTGAAGGCTTATTACCACCAAGGAATACAGAAACCCCAGCAGAGTATATCTAGGATGCAAATATATGCAGTGAAGAATTAGACCAAATAGCAAATCAAATAATATAAGAGGATATACAAAATACAAGCATAGACACCTGGCCATGCTTGAAGCGGAGAACCTGCAGTATTTTTGTTTCCAGAAGTTTGCTCAAAAACCCAACAAATTGAATGTCTCCCATCAATCACACGTATTAAATAAATAAATAAAGGACAAAATCATCACTAAAGAAAAGAAAGTCGTAAAAGACTACTGATGATGAACCATCATGACTTTTGAGTTCTCAATAGAGGAGCAAAAAAACAAAACAAATCCAAATACCATGTTTTCATTCTTTAGTTCAACAGGAAAGCATAGCTGGACCGAACATTGTGCTTCCACCATGGGGCTGCAAACAACTTCTCTACAAACAAATGTAGGGCATCAAATCGGCATCTCATTACAACATAAAGACTATTCATGTGTTCTTGTGTGCATATATGTATACTCTTTTTTAATAAAAACAAAATTTAAATTAGAAGTGCCATCCAAGTAATAAAAAAACACACACACTACAGCAGCTCAGAACCTCAAAAAAACCGGAAAGGCAATAAAAAGCTAGCAGCTAGCCTATCCAAGATTCTAACCAAAAACCAAGGGCACCCAACATCGATCGCCTCCTCTACCTCCCCCCACTGCAAGGGGTTTTATCTACCACCATAATTGATGAAGCTAACCAAATTTTTTAACTCCCTTCCACATCTAGCTTTGCTACCCCCATTCCACTTTGCAATTCAAACCATCCCTCTCTAGTCTTGTTTTCGCTTTCATTGTCATAAACAACTTCGAAGGCCAGATCCTCAAATCCCTCAACTGGGAACCCGAGAAACTTAGACCATTAATCATTTTCATTACTCAATGTGACATGTCAATCTTTTCTCCCAATTTAAAATGGTTTAGCGTACCAGTTAGGTTGCACTCCATTAAGTTCTAACACCCACCTGCTGGTGTAGAACATGAGAAGACGAAGAAGCAAACTAGGGTTTCAGAAAATCTCAATCAATATTCATCAAGCAAAACATAAGTCTTTCCTTACACAATGCCCATACACCCATGTATGTAAACAAAATAAAAATGGAAACAAAATGTTAAAAACTAAATCTCCTAAAAAAACAAGGGCAAACTTCACTTTACCATCACATGGTTTACTCCATGTGTAGTTTACCCGTCATTGGGAAATATGCACATAACCCCCTATTGCGGACTAAAGTGCACCATCAGGCATTCCGTCCAAGATGACAAGTGTAAAACACGTGGCAGGACATAAGGGGGTTATGTGCTCATTTCCAAATATCAGAGATAAACTGCACATAGAGTAAAGCACAGGGTTAAAGTGAATTTTGCCTCCCTAAAAATGACGAAAATGTCTATGGTTTGGACAATGAGTTAATTATGTACAAGGATAGTTTAGTCTTTTCAGTTAAGCTGTTAACAGCCCTGATGATGCACTTTAGACCGCAAACCACTACGGGTTATGTGCTTATTAACCAAGGGGGTTATGCAACAATGGGCCAACCACAGAGGAATAGAGTGAATTTTGCCCAAAAAACTAATCTTCCAGTTGGACCCTCTTACGCCTCACATATGGCTTCTTTCTTCCCCTTCCTTGGTCCCTATCACCTGCTCTATCTCCCCTTGCCAGTGCCTTTCTCTTCCTGAAGCACCAGTTATAATATTGGCTTCAACTGACTTATTAGGTTTCCTCCTCCCTGTTCCAACTCCCATATCCATCGCAATAGCCAATAACTTGACCTTTTCACCACTACAAGTTTAGATCCCCTACCTAATCTACTTACCCCTTCACCCAGGCCCATCCTTCAACCCAACATCATCATTTAACATAGTCAAAACCCCAGAGCTTCTGAAGACCACCATTTCCAAGTCACCTCCTCCAGGAGCAAGCATAGCCAGTGGAGTACATACTAATGGTTTCACAACCTCCATTTGTGAAAAATATGAATGGTTGTTTCCTCAAGTCATTGTATTAAAGTTAAAGTTTAAGCCAGTGCAAATCACAACAAATCAACAGGTCCAACAAATTAATCCCATACTCACTATCTGCCATTCCAACAATTGTGAAAATTTTGAAACATTGATTTAGCATTAAAAAAACAACGCCCAATTAGTACACATTAATGTGTGTTTGTGTAAAAATATATGTATTATTGATTGATGTGTTGTTGTTATGTTGTATCTATTACAATTAAAAGAATTCCTATTATATAGGAGTGTGTTTGGGAGTAGGTGGAGAGTAGGTGAAATGGAGGTGGTAGTGGTGTAGTGGGTTAGGTTTAGTGGAGTAGGTGAGGTGTAAAATAAAAATCAAATGCAGACCTACCTAATTATGGTCGATGGAAAAGTGAAAGGCAAGCCTTTGAGATCATCACGGCTGCAATGGAAAACGGGTTCAAGAGGTCTTGGAATTCCACCCTACATCATGATGAATCACAAATCCATTTAACAATAAATACTAGAAGCCCAGCAAAAACAAAACAGAAAAAGAACAATAAATACTAGAAGATGCTTAGCCTAGCTAGCTTCGATGACTTACCAAATACTGCAAAATTAAAGGGCATGCAATAGCAGGATCAATATTCCCAACAATCACAACTGTAAAAGTCGAGGGATCCTTAAAACAATTGTTGAAATATTCACAAGCCTTAAATGGATCAACTTTTTTAAGGTCACCAATTCTAATTGGCTGCATAAGAAGAATTACCATTAAATCATAAGCAGGACAAATCCATCAAAAAAATATGATAATTTAAACCAGACGGTCAATCATACCTAAAAAAATAGGAGTTTCCATAATTGAGCTTCCTCACTCGATTTGCAAATGCAGTGTAAGGATCTCTCTCTTGAGCACGGATGGCTTCTTCTGCCATTTGCATCACTATCTTGATGTCTTCTTCCCTTGGTTCTACATCTGTTATAAATAGCTGACAAACTAGCTGCCAGAAAGAAAAAATCAAAACGTCAGTCGCAACTCCAGAAATTTTTAGAGACGGGGTCACTATGCATGCTCAAGTTCTAGAAATTCTTCCCAAAAAAAAAAGAACTTTTAAACTAAATAACATTTAGACCTTGTTTGAAAACTTGACTTTTAGGCTAGAAAAAGCCAAAAGGTTTATTTATTTATTTATTTTTTTTTTAAAAAGTACCAAAAAAAATCCAAAAGCAAAAAAGCTAAAAACTCCTAAAAAAAGGAAGTCATACATACCAGTCAGTATGTTTTTTCATACAACTAGAAAAGTCATTATCAAATACATCGACTTTTTTCACTTTAAAAAACAACCAAAAAGCCAAAAAAATATTTAAAAAGCTAAACCTCAAACGATGTCTTAAACTTCTCAAACTTTAAGTAGAATAAACTGCAAAAATATTGATGTAACATGTATATAAGTATCTCCTCCTTGAAATCCCTAACTCTGCTGTCTCTTCTGCAATTCTCTTGCTGCTTTGTCGTTGGAAGCCTTTTTCCATTGATGCCTGCTGGTTTAGTACTACTATGAACTATAAGTTTGACCTTTTCTAAGAAAAAAGTCATTTTAGATTATGGTTGCTCCAAATCTTAGTCCTAAAAAGCTCCTCATTATAGGAGCCTGTCTCCATTCCCTAAAAGGTTGTGGTTTAAATGGTGTGAAGTGAAAACACTTAAAACAAAAGGGGCAGGCCAATGCACAAGGCTCCCTTAAATGCAAGGTCTAGATATGATTAGATGTATGCAGCCTTACTCCCCTCCCCATGTGATAGGTTGTTTTTGTGTTTTGAATCCATGATGTTCGGGTTGCAATAGAGCAATGTTACTGTGGTGCCAACACCTGCCCTCTAATTAGGATTGCCTCAAAATACCATCCAGTGGATTTTGGAGATTTGTGAGACTACTAGCTGGAGTAATACAGGCTATGCTTCATTATGTGGTGGGCTAAAGGTTTTGTTGTAGGTTTGAGATTTAAAAAGGTGGAAGAAAGAATTGAAACATTATAGATGTGTAGAGATTTCTTTGATGTCTGAACTAATCTCTTATGGAATTGACATGTATATAGATTTTTAGGCTGCTAGATGTCTCCATTTTCAAGGTTTTGAAGAGCTTCAACAGTTTGCTGGACCTTTCTCTTAACAAGTTCCTATCAAAGTGATGAGTATTGTTAAAACCTATCACCTATTTCACCCACTTAAACCTACTCCACTAAACCTAACCCACTACACCACTACCACCTCACCTACTCCACTACACCTAACCCACTACACCACTACTAAAATAAGAGAGAGTGGAGTGGGGTTGATTAAATAAAATAAAAAAAAAAAAGAAAAGGGGCTCTTTATGCAGGTGTATGTCGGCTGAGAATGCATTACGGAATTCAAAGAGAATAAAAAAAAAATAAAGGGTTTGAAAGTGAAAAATAAAGAAAAGAAAAGAAATGGGGAACATGTGGGTTGATTATTAGAGAGAGAGAATGAGTGGTGAACAACATAATACGGGTGTGATTAAATAAATAAAAGAAGAATGGGTTTGCCTTGAGTAGAGAGAGAGAGGAGAGATTGGTCACCATTGCATGTCCTTTCCATTCTTTTGCCCCATCTCTCTCTGCCTCTCTTTCCTTCGACCCAAAGAACAAAATAAATTTCCAAACCCAGATCTCAAAATGGCTTTGTCGGCTTCGTCGGCGGCGGACTTGGTGAGGGAAGCCGCGGCGGAGTTGTCGATGGCGGATCGGGATTTGGCTTTGTCTAAAAAAACGGAGCTCCTTTGACGAAGTGGCGCTTGGCTTCGTTGGCGGAGTGATTGCGGCGAGCGAGAAGCTTGGAGAAAGCTTGTTGGGGGAGATTGTGCATCCAGAGGTACATGAAGACAGTAATGAGAACAACTCACAGATTCCCCTTGATGGGTTTATGATCCAGTTCAACAAGAACACATTTGGTCTTGCTGCTGCTGGACTACTACAGGTCCCACAATTGCTACTTGGAACATCAGCGAGGACTCTTCTGCCGATGGTTTTATTCCAGAATGTTGCTTCTGGTCCTCCAAACACACTACTGCAGGTTGCTGTGAAAAATAATCAACCTGTGTGGTATTTCAGTGATAAAGTATCAGTACTGTACTGGTATTCTTCACCGAGGATGGAAATTGATGACGAGGAAGATGAGAAAACAAAGAAAGAAGAGTTTCTGGTATGTGTTTGTGATATGTGTTGAAAAACTCCCGCGGGCAGCGAAGGCAAGGTTGCCGGCCGGCTGCCCGCCGGAAAGAAAGGAGTATAGGCCTAAATCTTATAGCTCTGATACCATGTAAAAATATATGTATTATTGATTGATGTGTTGTTGTTATGTTGTATCTATTACAATTACAAGGATTCCTATTATATAGGAGTGTGTTTGGGAGTAGGTAGAGAGTAGGTGAAGTGGAGGTGGTAGTGGTGTAGTGGAGTAGGTGAGGTGGTAGTGGTGGTAGGTGATGGTAAATTCTAACAGTTTGGGAGGGGAAAGATTGGGTACACACTTTACCTTTGGCATAATGCACAAAGTGGTTGCCCCAAGACTTGAACCCATAACCTCAAGGTTATTAGGCCAAGGTTTTACAATTGAACCAATGGTCACCCTTGATTTAGCATTAACATAAATAAAATAAAAATCAAATGCAGACCTACCTAATTATGGTCGATGGAAAAGTGAAAGGCAAGCCTTTGAGATCATCACGGCTGCAATGGAAAACGGGTTCAAGAGGTCTTGGAATTCCACCCTACATCATGATGAATCACAAATCCATTTAACAATAAATACTAGAAGCCCAGCAAAAACAAAACAGAAAAAGAGCAATGAATACTAGAAGATGCTTAGCCTAGCTAGCTTCGATGACTTACCAAATACTGCAAAATTAAAGGGCAAGCAATAGCAGGATCAATATTCCCAACAATCACAACTGTAAAAGTCGAGGGATCCTTAAAACAATTGTTGAAATATTCACAACCCTTAAATGGATCAACTTTTTTAAGATCACCAATTCTAATTGGCTGCATAAGAAGAATTACCATTAAATCATAAGCAGGACAAATCCATCAAAAAAATATGATAATTTAAACCAGACGGTCAATCATACCTAAAAAAATAGGAGTTTCCATAATTGAGCTTCCTCACTCGATTTGCAAATGCAGTGTAAGGATCTCTCTCTTGAGCACGGATGGCTTCTTCTGCCATTTGCATCACTATCTTGATGTCTTCTTCCCTTGGTTCTACATCTGTTATAAATAGCTGACAAACTAGCTGCCAGAAAGAAAAAATCAAAACGTCAGTCGCAACTCCAGAAATTTTTAGAGACGGGGTCACTATGCATGCTCAAGTTCTAGAAATTCTTCCCAAAAAAAAAAGAACTTTTAAACTAAATAACATTTAGACCTTGTTTGAAAACTTGACTTTTAGGCTAGAAAAAGCCAAAAGGTTTATTTATTTATTTTTTTTTTTTTTAAAAAGTACCCAAAAAAATCCAAAAGCAAAAAAGCTAAAAACTCCTAAAAAAAGGAAGTCATACATACCAGTTAGTATGTTTTTTCATACAACTAGAAAAGTCATTATCAAATACATCGACTTTTTTCACTTTAAAAAACAACCAAAAAGCCAAAAAATTATTTAAAAAGCTAAACCTCAAACGATGTCTTAAACTTCTCAAACTTTAAGTAGAATAAACTGCAAAAAGGGCACGCATTTTGATGGCACGTCTTTTTATGGATTGGGCACGCCTTTTGAAAGATTGGACACACCTTTTGAGGGTGCGACTTTTTAGGGATCCGACAAGACTCTGTAAACTGTCACGACATTGATTCTGGTTAGCTCCTTCATGGGTCCGACAAGACTCTGTAAACTGTCCCGACATTGATTCCGGTTAGCTCCTTTATGGGTCCGACAAGACTCTGTAAACTGTCCCAACATTGATTCCAGTGGCTTCAAACTGTAAGCCTAGCACAGCTTCTTAATGTTTGGGCTTGTTGAAAGTCATGTACTTCGGTTTCATTAAAAGTAACCAATTTCATTAATGTTTGGCCTCTTTTCTTTTTATTTATTATTTTTTTGGGGGTGTAGAGGTTAATTTACTTTTTAGTCTTCTCGCTAGAAAGGCACTAAGGCTCTTGCATATTGTCTTATATGCAGGGTTTTGGATTGAGCATATCTCTACAACGTTATGACACCCCCATACAGTGTCCTCTACAACGTTATGACACCCCCATACCGTGTCCTCTACAACGTTATGACACCACCCTCTAGTGTCTTCACCAATGGTCTGACACAACCATACAGTGTCACCTATCCTCTTTTATTTTTATATATTTTCTTGTTTTGTAACTCTCTCCAAACTCAAGTTGGTTAGTTCATATCCCCCTTGAGTTTGCGGGGGGCTGTTAAAACCTATCACCTATTTCACCCACTTAAACCTACTCCACTAAACCTAACCCACTACACCACTACCACCTCACCTACTCCACTACACCTAACCCACTACACCACTACCACCTCCACTTCACCTACTCCTTACCTACTACACACTCACCCTCTTCTATATATAGGAATCATGAATCATTGTAATAGATATGAATATATATCAATCAATAATACATCTATTTCTTACAAGTATATAGATATCTTTGGGCTGCTGGATTTCTCCTCGCTCTGCCAGAACAGGGACTTAATAATTTTTCATTTTCCCACGGTTTCTGTATGGCACCACCTTATGTTTTTCAAATGTATAAGTGTATATTTTATATTTAGTTAACAAGGTGTCCAAGTCTTGTAGAGCATCCTATTGTCCCCTTGGAATGAAGTCTGCCTGTCCCACATGCACTGAGTTACTACAGGAAGAATTCCATGGGAAGGCCCGAAAGAGATGATTTGGAATCAGCACCTCCACTTTGTGAGGCAGTAGCTTATCGTGGCTTTCTTGTTAGGATCAAACACACCCATAAAATAATCTCACACACACAGAGAACGCAATATTTACGTGATTCGGCCCAATGCCTACATCCACGGACAGAAATGAGAATTTCACTAAAACAGAGCAAAAAAATACAAAACGGAGGAGGAGTATCATCTCACTCTCTCTACTCAACTCAGAGTTCTCATACACTTCTCACAACTCCCTTTTTTTCTGATACAATACATCATCTCCCTCCCGTCTCTATTTATACACAAAGATGAGAGAGAGAGAGAGAGAGGAGACAAACCCACCAAAATTTTCTACCTTCTTAATGGTGAGTGTCAAACATGGCAACAACGTAAAGGGAAGGGAGAGACTTGCAGATGCCCAACTCAGACTTTCACTTGAGATGGAAGTCATCGTACGCAGCATCCTCCTTGGCTTTCTGCTGCCCCGCATGCGTGGGGTTGGAGCAACATGTCTTGTGTATCCTTGAGTTTGATATGGACATTATGTTATTATAGAATACAATGGTGCTGGATGGTTAAGCAATATATAATTTATGCAAACATACATTTTTAATGGTGATAGTAGGATGCAGTTGGTATATATCCGTAAGGGAATAAACTCATATAAGATATGTAGTGAGATGCTTTAGTTTCTCTTTTTAATTGCATTAAACTATGTTTCCTTGCGTTGTGTTTCTTGTTCTATTGGTTTGTCTTTGGTCCAGTTAAGTCATTTGGCTGGCAGATCACAGTCAAAACATCTATGAATATTTTAACCTTTTGCAGGGGCTACTCCAGCTCGCAGGTGATGGGGTCCCCTTCCCCCATCAACTTGTCAAACACTCTTAAAAAAAAATTATTTATATTATAAATGTTATAATTTAACCTCAATAAAACACTAAGGGATCACATCATATAGTTTGACATCAATAAATGAATAATTTCTTCATTACATATATACATGAAAATGTGTTTGACATTATTAACAATGAAGTTATTATGCAACAATCTCTAAAAAATAAAACCTCATTAAATGCAACTGTAAAAGTTTAAATACTTTTCTGTTAAGACAAAATAGCATCAGAGTGCCACTGTAACGTTTATCACTAGTAATCTTACATCATAAGGGATTAAAGCTTTGTTGGGTTGGGTAATATTATATTATGTGATTTCTTCTTTTTCATTAGTAATAACAAATCCCAAAAAATGGAGGTCATGATCATTTGCCCTGATGCTATGACGTGGGTTCGAGTCACAGGAATCAGTCTCTCCACAAAAGAGCAGAAGCAATCCACCCTACCTACTACCTATCCTAGATCCTTCTCTAGCTGGGAGCCTCGCGCACAGGTATGTCCATAGTACACCCCACAAAAACATACAATAGAACGTGAGAGATATTTCAAGGCTTGGAATTTGGGCCCCTCAATCCCCCAGCCTAGTTCCAGTCCTCATGAAACGAATAGAGTTGGACAGTACAAAGTGCTTGCAATCTAACAATTATGCCAGTCTGACACTTGTTGATGTGCTGGCAGAATATAGAAGAATGTGACATTCTAAATCCTTTTGTGCAAACTACCACGTATATACATTAAAGTGCTTTGAGGAAAAGAAAACAGAATACTGGACAGAGGCTATCTAAAGTACGAACCTGCAAGGCAGTTTCCAGGTCCGAAGGCGAGCAGTCACCCGAAAAGGTTCTCATATATGCTCCAAGTTTTGTTCCAACTTCAGCTCTCTTACCAGCAAGCATATCCATTAGAACTGATGGTCTATAACCAAAAACGCCAATTTCTCCAGCGATGGTTGAACCCATTGAGCATGAGAAGTACTCATTTTCTGGCAGTTCTGATAAACCCCCATATGAGAACCCTGTGAAGAGAACCTATTTAAACAAAATGTTAATAGTAATTACTATTATGATATGACTGATGCTAGAGGATATTCACTCAGTTAAATCTACAAGCAAACAAAGAAATAATTTGGTAGAAACTAGGTTAAATATCTACTGTATCAACATGCTGGCCAGTGCATAGGGATTCCAGTTAATGTTTGTGCCATAAACTAGCAGTACATGCTTCTCTGTAGATTAAGTCTTTCTCAAAACAATGAATTTCCTGTATGTATACAAAAATGTAATATCATTGAAATTTCCTGCCAAATTCTTATTTAATTTGAAAATTTGAATTTACACTCTTCTATCTTTAATTCTTTAGTGAAACTTCTAATTGAATTATGGGTCTGTGTTCTATGTCAGTATAAGATAGTGTCAATAAACCATCTCACCCATGCACAGGAAATTCAAAATGTAAATTTTTTACTACATTGCCCACACAAGCTTATACCTGGTCATCGAAGAAGTCTGTACACTTATAGCAAACTCTCATGCCAGTTGACAGAATTAGCTCAGTAGCTCCAGTATTCGAATATTCAAATTGCTGCACAATATGCCTGAAACAAAACATATGAGCAAGGTCAGATCATATATTCAAACTGCTGCACTATCCCATAGGTTCACATAATGATAACAAATAACCAATCGTTATGATTTTATCAACATTCCAACTCAATTATAATAATTCATGTGAGAAAGTGATGGCATGTTGCATGAACTAGAAGTTGGTACCAAATTCAAAACAAATTATTACTAGTTTCACTCATTTCCTTTATAAGAAATATTGCAAATGTTTGAAACACTAGTTGTGTTTTTCCTAACAATTACACTCAATGAGTACAGAGAACATCTCAAATTTTGAGAAGCAGAAACATCTCAAATTTCAAAGCATTCAGACGTGTCTACAAGAGTTCAAGAAATTTGGGATACGTATTTTTTAGTTCAAAATAGATGCAGGTATATATAATGTGTATATATCTAATGTATGGATATTTTTAGGAAATGTTGACCAATCTCTCCTATTGAATATAAAAATTGGAGTACATACAATCTTTTTATTATTAGTATTATGTATATAATCTGTGATTGTGTCGATCACTGATTTAGTATTGTTTCCTTATTTATATCGTTTCCTAAATTGTATCATGAATCTATTATATATACATGGCCTCTACTTCATTCATGAGTAAGACAAATAATTATTCTTTTTAGTATCAGAGTTAGGTTAAGTACTTAATAATTTTGCTTCACCGGCGGGCAGTAACGCCCGCCGGACCTCAACCTATTCCGCTGCCATATTTTCCTTTTAGTATTGCTTCATGGTGATCTTTTCTTTTGTTCACTGATTTATTCCTACCCCAAATATCTCTCTCATATTTTTTTTTTTACTCGCAATCCTTTTTTTTTTTTTTGTGTGTGTGTGTGTTTCTGATCTACTTTGTCTTTTCCTCTGCTTCAACCTCAAATAAGTTTCTATCTTCAAACCTATTTGAGTTTGAGGGGGGGTATTATACCTATATCATGGTGAGCATGGTGATATACTATATGAACCACCTAAGCCATCCCATCTAGCACACGACCCAAGTTGCGCTCTCTAGCGCACAACCCAAGCTGCCCCCTCTAGCGCATAACTAACGCCGCCCCCTCTAGCACACCACCAAAGCCGCCCCCTGGTGCGCTTCTAATAAGCCGCCCACTGGCGCACTCAGTCAACTGTTGCTATCATCGTTCAACATCATGTCATAAGTTATGTGTGTGTCACGCATGCTGGTTCAACATCCAGTTCTCTACATCGATCTGACATGACCCCTAAAATTGTCCTGACATTGATTCCGGTTAGTTCCTACAACGGTCCGGCATAACCACGTAAACTGTCCCGGCATTAATTTCGGTTAGTTCCTACAACAGTCTAGCATGACCTTAAAACTGCCCCAACATTAGTTCCGACTAGTTTCTACAACGATCCGGCACAACCATAAGCTATCTCCCGGCATTAGCTCCGGCCTCTGATGCCGACCAGAGTGTTTCCTGGCCATAGATGCTTCGGCAGCTCTTCTAGGGCAGTTCAATCCCTGTTTTTTTCACTTTCTAGGGTGTGGTGTTGATGTATTAAACACTTTTTGGCCTTTTTTATTTGTGGACTACCAGATTTGTTCGGTAGCATTTATTTGGACTAGCCGCTAAGTTTTTTTCGGGCTTCTTCCAGTCATCCATTGGCAAGCTGCGATTGTTGAACATCTTCACACCAGTTTGAGGGGGAGTGTTGAATATAGAAATTACAGTACATACAATCTTTTTATTTTTAGTATTATGTATATAATCTGTGATTGTGTCAATCACTGATTAGTATTATTTTCTTATTTATATCGTTTCCTAAATTATATCATGAATTTATTATATATACATGGTTTCTACCTCATTCATGAATAAGCCAAATAATTCATTTCATTCTTTTTTAGCAAGTATTCAAAGATTATTGGAACCTTTTTTCAATCGGTGCCGAGTATTGGAACCTGATACAAATATGATTTGTAAATTGGATGCTATGAGAACTTCAATCATTGCCCTAAACAGGTAAATTATGTGAGTATTGTATATGATTTGATAAAAGTTGAACCCCACATGCCTTGGGGAAGTCATTGAATATAAATCAATCAATAATACAATTCTCTATTTCTCTTTATACATTAAATTTCTACAAAAGTTGAACCCCACATGCCTTGGGGAAGTCATTGAGACTAATGCAAATTCTTTGACAATCATAAGAATAGTGACAACCTCAAGTTAAAAACAAAGACAAAACAGGATAGCAATATTCATGGTTGCAAGTAATTATGGACATTGACAGGAACCTTTCTGTAACCTAATTTATCAGATCCCCCTCTAGTCTTATTTGAGGGAAGAGGGAGTGAGGTCCATGTGTGTGTGGCTTGGTTAGAGTGAATGGCTTCAAAAAGCATACTTAAACAAGGTTCATCGAATTGAAATATTTGAATATGGATAATTGTGCATGCCATAGGTAAATTTAATTTTATCCCATTTTTCTTAGAAAGTCAAGCATCATCAGTTTGTAAGGATTTCACCCCTGGAACACAGCGGATAGAATGACCATGTTCAGACTACAAATAATCCTTTGATTACTTACGGATTTACTTACGAGTTTTAAAACGGTCGTATAGAAGCAATTATCATTGGTGTTTGTAGATTCTCCAGAGCATTGGATAACTTCAGAAGACTTTAAAACTGCAGCTCACTCTATGCTTTGGTTATTAAGACTAAAAACTCATGATCTTATAAGCCTCACAGGGGACCATCAAAAAAGAAACAAGTGCAAATATTTCTGCAGCAAAACAATGTTATTGTTGTGTGCATATAGAAAGAGTTATACATCAATGATAATTTTATTTCCTTACGAAAATTGTACCTCAAAAGTGGACAGAGGAATAAGCATCCAAAATATGATTTGAAGCAAAAAGACCCAATCAAGATTATGCACAGAAGCCAAAAAGTACTATAAATGCACCATTGTGTTTGACAATAATGCTTTTGAGAACTCACAAGATTTAAAGGATGAACATATGACTACAAAACAAAAGAAATTGCTGCAGAATTCCTAATATTTCAGGGTTCTTATATTTATTAGCAGATAACGTAAGAGTTACTGTAGTGTAAAGAGATTAGAAGTTTACCCTGGACTTGGTTTCATATAAACAATTTCTTCTGGGATGTGCTCATCATCCCAACGAGGTATGCTTCGTTCTTCCTAAAGAGAATTGATCTTTGACACAACAGTACTAAGATCATCCATTGTTGCAGTAGCCCGAGATTCTATGATCTTTATAACACAGCTACATGATGTTCGAAAATTCTCCACATACTTGGATACCTCAGATGCCGATATATCTATGCATATGTTAAATGTTACAAGAGCCAATTAACATATTTCCACATCTTATTTTATATAGGAAACCGAAAACCAGCAAATTTAATAATGTTACGTTAATAAATACTCACAAGGTAGTCTAGTTTTTTGAAGTTGTGCTTCATACTCAACCCCAACAACAGGCTCACTGCGGAGAAAATGCTCGGAAATTTTTAAAAAGAAGTGTAAATTGCTGCCAGACTTCATAAAAACTGATTAAAAAAATATAAAATCAATAATTCGCATATACTTGTAAATATTCATCCCTCAGGCTGGTTGATTGCATTTGATCACGTTCCAAATAGGCAGATTCAATCTCTGACATTAGCAAAGCTCGAGCAACAGAAATTTCACATTCAGAAAATCCATGCAGCCGAACCCTAGCAACCTGAAATGCAGGGCATTAATAAAACAAAGGAAAAGCAAGTAGATCCCTACATCAATATTAAAAGCACACCTCAGTAAGAATTGATTTTAGGGCCTCAATAGTCCCTTTCTCTTTACAAGATGAAGTCATTATATAGGCTTTCACTGGACGAGCTACGACATCAGCAGCAGCAGAGCATGAAAAATATGGAGAATCCTTTCTACGAGATATTTTAAGAAACCTCTGATTTAAAGCATGAAAGAACATCGACTCTGCAAGTAAATTTCTGTAGTCCTTCACAGTTTTTAACTCATCCGCAGGCATCTTACAATTGATCATCACTGCAGACTGTTATGCAGAAATCAAAAGTAAGATTTCTAAAACTAAAATTTTCATGTGCTAGTTTAATGGACTTGCATGTTGATGTATTCAGGAGTAAACCAAAATCTACACAATTGGATGAAAAGTCCAGTGGCTACTAAACCCAGCAGCTTCAGATTCAACAAAACATGAAAAACGGGGTTCTTCATGAGATGGAACTGGAAAGAGAGGTAAAAGTGGAGGATCTGGTGATGAACTTTTATCTCCAAAGTGGGTCCTTATCAACTCAACTACACTCTGAGAGAGAGAGAGAGAGAGAGTTAACAAAAGTTCGACAACAAATAAAATTCTTTGTATAAAAGGAAAATCTAAATGTTAGCATATTCCAACCTGTGTATCAGAAAAATCTCCAACAGCTATCACAGCCATATTGTGTAAATGGTACCATTTCCCATAAAATTGCTCCACGGTATCAGCAGAAACTGTCTGGATTACCCTTTCTAACCCAATAGGTAAACGCTCAGCATACTGCAATCAACAAATGAAATTTTACAAGGGCACAAACTTAATAAAACTCCGCAAAAAAACAACCATCAAGTCGTCAATCAAATAAATATGCATTTATAACTGACTCAAGGATGCTCAATGAAGCAATGGTATTAGTAAAACACAAAACTATAATACAACACAATTTGAAAAACCCAGAAACCATTTTTTGCAAAGAAGGAAAAAAAAAACAACAACAACAACAACAAGGCAAAAAATGCAACAGCCTTTTCTATGTGTGTGAGTATTGCTACATACATAGTTGAAATGACAAATAGCAACTGAAATAACATATTGAAGATGTTAATATTAAACAGAAGATGTGAGCACAATATTAACGTTACAAGGGAGCAGTGATCTTTATATGAAGACGATTCAAGTTAGTTTGAAAGTAAATGGTCAAACAAGCTCCAACCATGCAGGAAGAATCAAGTACAACGACCATGTAAAGAACCTCACCAGTGCATGAGACTCAAAATTGATAAATTGGTAGAGTTTAAAAAATTACCTTAGAACCTTCCATCATCAGAACCCAATGTGCATCCTGCATCCTTCCATTTGCATTGCGGTTCCCTCTGTACTGTACTCCTCCATAACAGCCCCTCTTTCTTTCTCCAAATCGTCTGTTGAGACTCGCACCTACATGGTAACAGGTGGTAAAAAGAATAAATTAAAAAAAATGAAACTATGAAGATTATCACACAACAGAGAATTGGTTGCTACCTCCAAGCTAAATTCTGCCCCAATACTTTCAAGAAATTTAACGATATCATGATTTGATTTGTGTATTTCTTTGTGGCACTAAAAGCAAGATGCTCAACTATATGAGCAACTCCACGTTCATCCTCCTCTTCCAAAACTGAGCTGCAACAAATTTAACGCCTCAGATTGTTTAAAAGTTCAAAAAAATAGAAATGATTATAAAGGTATGACTAAGCGTGCAGGCCTATAAGCGTGTAGGCCCGGAAGAGGAGAGGAGATGGAAGAGAATAGTCCAGTTTATTACTTCACCTGTCGCCACCTCATTTAAAATGTTAAAATATTGTAATCCTTTAAGCTGTGTTTGGTTGGAGAATTTGAAGAGAAATTTGAAAAGAGAAACAGAAAAGATAGGTGAAATGTCAATAAAATATGCCTATATTTTACCTAGTTTCACACACCTTTTCTCTTTTCCTTTCTAAATCTCTCTTCAAATCCTCCAACCAAACACAGCATTACTGTTTAAAGATAATGATCGTTGCCCATTTTGTTTAAGAGTCTCGTATACATTTTACATAGAGAAATAAAAGGTCCTCGCCCCATTCTCTATTTTTTCTTCTCTTCTTCTCTTATGTGCTGCCCTTCTTCACTATTCCACCCCAACCAAAACCCCTGACAATGAGACTGTCAGGTGCAACGACATCCAAATCAAATTGTTCATTTTCAAAACCCTAGTGGTCGAGATCAATACCCCCAACACTGAATGGTGAAATCATCATGCATTGTGTTGGAGAATTACCCAAATCACTTGGGCAAAATAATAATAACAATAAATAAATAAATAAATATCCAAATGAATTTGTCCAAAAAACCCAAGAGTGATGGTTTAGGGACAAGGAAGGAGCAAGAATTATCCCAGTTTTTTAAGAGAGAATTAAGGGGGAGACGGCCAATGTGGAAACTAAATTAAGGTTTGGAGACAGAAATCCTAGTTGTGTTCGATATGAGGAAGGTAGAAAATAAAGAGGATTCTGGATATTAGTAGTCGATTGGAGAGATCATCCCTATAATGATCTATTATGGAATTGGAATTGTAATAATATTTTTCTTGCATAGTATCATAGTAGAATTATTAGAATAAATACAAATACAGTTTTTCAATACTTTACTTCCTTCTTAAAGAATAAGAAAATAATGATATTAAAGCAGTACTCTACTAATTCAAAATTTGTCAAGTTAACGTATCTTTAATGTGCCGACCACGTGTCTCATTCATACCCTATCCATACTTCATACAAAGTAAGGATTGATAAGAAAATAAAATGCTAGTAAAAATGGATTTCAACAATTGAACAAGTAAAAACTATATATTGAAATATAAATTTTCATTGAACCTATTGAAAATTAAAAAGTAAATTGTCTACTTGGTCTTAAGCTTTCATTTCTAAAGATTACTATCTTACATTAAGAAAATATCAATGGTTATACAAATACAGTTTTTCAATACTTTGCTTCTTAAAGAATAAGAAAATAATGATATTAAAGCAGTGCTCTACTAATTTAAAATTTGTCAAGTTAACGTATCTTTAATGTGCCGACCACGTGTCTCATTCATACTCTATCCATACTTCATACAAAGTAAGGATTGATAAGAAAATAAAATGCTAGTAAAAATGGATTTCAACAATTGAACAAGTAAAAACTATATATTGAAATATAAATTTTCATTGAACCTATTGAAAATTAAAAAGTAAATTGTCTACTTGGTCTTAAGCTTTCAATTCTAAAGATTACTATCTTACATTAAGAAAATATCAATGGTTTCCCACCATCCATTGTGCTTGCCACTAGTGTACATAATCGGTTAGCCCTTTCGCATGCAAATCACTCATGGCTCCCCTTTTTCCACCTCCTTTTGACTTACTTGAATTAACTATTAATTATGCAAAGTTTTCTTTATAGTAGAATGCACTAGGCCATGAAAAATTACAATCAACTTTCTTTCGGTAAATTACAAATCCACCTCCTGAGATTTGCTTAAAATACAAATTGTTCCCTATAGTTCTAGAAATCACATCTCGTTCCTTCAAATTTCTAATCGCATAACACATAATCCTTTTTGTTAATAAATCATTAAGTCAATCAATAATTTTTAATAATGACATATTTATATTTCATTTAACAATTCTGATAATTTTATTGTTGCATAACAGACTAGTTAGAATTTTTTTTTTGGTTAATTCTATAAATAAAAAAATTCTAGGGGAAATTGCAATTCAATGAAAGTTTTCAAAAAAAAAAAAAAATTCAAATCAGTAGTAAACTTTATCAATTTTAATAATTAAAGTCATAAATTTTTCCATGAATTTGTAAATATTTTGTGAAGATACCACGTATTTGCAATTTTTCCAAAATTCTAACAAGGGTATTTGTAATTTCGAAAATCACCGGGCTAATCTGTATTTTAAACAAAACTCAAGGATATATTTGTAATTTACCCATTTTCATTTTTATAAGCTATAATCAATTGGGTGATTCTACTTACACTACTATTTAACCTTTTTACACCCTCCATCTCATTAGACCATTAAAAAAAATGTAATTCTCATTACACCCGCAATATATTACCAAAACTAACCCTAAATTAACTATTTCATTCTTTACACCACTAATTTTGGTAACACGGTGCTAAACAATTTACATTATTCCAGTGTTATGTTGCCAGAAAAAATAGATCTCTCCAACATTTTGTTGCTATACATTTACAGAGCCACTTTAATTTGTGGTGGGTCTGTTCGGTAATACAACACTAATTAATTTGAATTACTCCAGTGCCATGTTACTAGACAATATTTTTTTTCCTAGCATTCATTATTTTGCTGTCCAATTAGATGATAACAATAAATTAATTTGGGCCACTTGTGAAGTGACTGTTCAGTGATACATTGTTATACAAATGGGATTACTCTAGTGTCATGTTGCCAAACTACAATAAAGTTGTCTAGACCCTGTCACTATACATTGAAAAATTTACTTTTTCCTTGAAGCATCCATAAAAAATTCATAAATCAAACACGCATCCATAAAATCATACATAAAAAGTATCTATAAAATTATTCATAAAAAATCAAGTGTACGAATATCCATAAAATATCCATCAAATCTGTCATTGTTTGCATCCATCAATCAAACATGTTATCACAATTCGTCTTAGTAATTTGTAAATAATTTTTCTCCTCTTAATAGAAATAGACATCCACACTTTTTAGAACCTATCAACCTCAATCGTTTCCCCTTAATCTTCCTATTGTCTCTATAGTAACCACTACTTTTACAAACAAGTGTAAGTCTTGGTTTTCTTCCATTGCCTCTCGCATCTGATGTCTTTATAACAATGACAAATCTAGTCTTCTTCCCAATGTCAGAAGCCCATTTAATTAATGTTTCACGACTACTTAAAGATAATAAATATATGTATACATCAAATTATTAATAAAACTCAATACAAATTAAAAATAAGAAAAAATCGTATTCATAAAAAAAAAAAAAAAAACTTAACAAACCTCGTTTGTAATGAATAAATGACTAGAGTCCACTAATATTGCAGTACTTGCGTTGTTGCAATGAGTATAAGTATAATCCTTCCAAGCAAAAAAAATAAAAGAATAAATGAAACTGGAAATACGAAGTAATGAGAAGCCAAACAAATTTTAAAAATTCGATTTTGGGTTACCGGAAATGTATCTTTTATTCGATAGTTGGTTACTAGACGTATATTTTTTAATCGGCAATGTAATGCCGAACTATTTTATTTTGTTCGATTTCAAAGCATCGAACGAAAGTCGAACACCAGTCCAGAAAAATGAAACAAAAACCTACCAAATAAATAAATAAAAAAACTCATCATTTCACTTTTTGGATGATTTTTCACCATTGTTTCTTCATCCATTGCTTTCTTTAATGATCAAAACACTATGATTCTCACTTTTTGAAAAGAGACGTGTAAGAGAAAATAACAATTAAGAAAGGGAAAAGAGGAGTAGGGATTAAAGACCAAGGGGTGTAAGAAGATAACAAAATATATTTAATTTTAATGTTTTTTCCTTAAAGGTAATTTCACACATGGATAAAATTGGAAAGGAAAAAAAAAAACTCAAATGGAGGGTGTAAAGAGGTAAAGTAGTGGTGTAAGTAGAATCACCCTTATTTTTTAACAATTTTAATGGTGTCAATTTACAAAAACCTCTCAAAATTTTTACATATTGCTTTATATTCTATAAAAAAAAAATTCGGAGTTATGGGGTTGAATTGAACCCACTAAACAGTACTTAGCTCCGCCCATGGTTGTCTGTGGTGATTGCAGACCAAGACATCGACCATCACCACAGGTATTGCAAGCGACGAGACCAAGACAATGGATTGCAATGGGTGTTGTTGGGTTCTTCAGTGGTTACTATAGGACAAAAATGTCATATTGATTTATTTTTGATCAATCTATAAATAAATTCCTAACTGATGATTTTAGAATTAAATTTTAACTTTGAAATCTCATTTATTGAGTCTAATAATTCCTTCTAAATTTGGTAAGAAATGATGAGAAATCATGAAACTCTATTATTTTGACTATTTCATTTCTCATCAAAATGGTGAGATTGAGTGTGAAATAAGCTAATTGGTTATAAATTTGTTATAATACCGAGTTTTCCATTTAAATATAGAGGAGGAAAAAAAGTCTCACGCATATCCCTTTGTCACATGCTTCGCTTTCTTATACATCCAAAGATGACAATGAGAAAACATAATTATTTTTTTCTCTCTCTCACCCCATAATCCAAATCAAGAGAAACCTAA